GAGAGAGAGAGAGAGAGAGAGAGAGAGAGAGAGAGAGAGAGAGAGAGAGAGAGAGAAAGCAAAGAACATCAATTACATCAATGATATGCTCTAGTATAGCTATGGAATCCCATGGGGGTACGCATATCACCTTCATTATAGTTCAGTAAATGAGTAACCAGTGAAACTAATGCAAACATGTATTTTCAAATAAGAACTGAATGTCTAAAATATTAAAATTGCTTGCTATTGCTTTGTATCCCTGGAACTCCGTATCATATGTTCTCAATCCAACAGGCCCTTGTTCATTCATACTTCAACTACAACTCGGGTGGCATCTTTCTATATTTCTCTGCCTCAAGCCATTCTCATACATCATAAGCATGAGGAACCATGAAACACTAACCCTCTCCATGAGGCCAGTCCTCAGTCAATGAAGCATGACAGTCCACAGATAAATAACTCAGTCTTCTGTTGCTTAGAGTCAGTTCTTAGGCAGTCTTTCTCACAGTGCCTTAGGAATCCCCAACAGGAAGAGCCTCAAATGCCCACAGTAGTAACTTCTGCCTTTTTTTGTTTTTATTCTTGTATTTCTCTCAGACTCTGCTTTTGAGGGACTGAAAACCAATGACATGCATACAATAATCAATAGACGACAGATACTTATAATGTTCATAGCAGTAATTAGGAAGGACACCAGGCAGGAAGCGCAGCTTTGGGTAATGACAGAAGAGCTGACTGCATACGTTTATTCCTATGTGCCTAAACAAGATTGTACTCACAGCAGTTCATTCACATGCAGCATCATAAAGTTAAACCTATGAACATTGGTCCTGCAATTTGATAGGTGCATTCTTTCCACTGTTTATTAATTTTATTGTTTAACAGATGCTGGACACGTCATTTTGCCTCTCATGGATGCAGTTTATACCCATGTGTTATTCAGACGGTCTCTAAAAACCTCTTTCAACTCTAGAAATTCATAACTCTCTCCATACTCGTTGTTGCAGTCGCAAATATGTATATTGAGAGAGCTAGAACTAAGTCTACAATTTAACTCAAATAATATGAGATTTCATGCAACTCATATGCTTTACAATGTGTTCCCAATTCTGTTCACATTGGCAGAGTTTGAAAAAAAAGAATGAAATGCCTGGGCCATATGTTGATGTGCAGCAAGAGGCATGAAGCCTTTAAAAGAAACCCCTCTGTGAATATGTGTAAAAATGTAAGCTCAGTACAGTCTCACATTGTCTTGGTTTCAGGGAAACTAAATTTATTCTCCTGTTTGCCATTTACCAACTTCAGCAATTATTTCTTTTTTAGAAAAGGACTCTTTGGCAACTATGAACATTTTGTTGATTTGTGGACACACACACAAACAGTCATACATAGAAACATACACACATAAAACACACGCATCCACACATACACACACAGCACAAACAGATACCACACACACTCATACATACACACTTACCACACACAAACATACCATACACATACAGCACATACTACACATGCGTATACACATATACACACTCATATACACACAAACTCACGCACACATACAAACACAGTCATATACACACATATACACTATATACCACACACATACCATACACACTAACATACACACACACACACACATATATATATATATATGTGTATATATATATACACACACACACAAACACAGCTCACACTCACACATATTCTACTATACTCCACATACACACATACCACATACATACCTCTTCACTACACACAAACACACCATATACACACACACACATACACACACA